TGTCCTAATGAAGGTATCACTCAGGTATGAATTTTACATTCTCCCTTTTAATCTCTCCCAAGCAGAAGACACAGCACTTACCTAGAGCCTAAAATTATGTCTTACAGGGGGATTTTCAAACTAGCTTGAGGGCCACAAATAGTTTTAGGACCACAGTTGTCTAACCCTGTAGAACAGTAATGATAAAGGGTGGGGGAGGATGAACACACAGAAACCTCAAAGATTCTGCTCAATTTACTGAGCATCTCAGATTAAAAACTAACATACTATCTACTAATAGTCATCTAGGCCAGGAATTTTAAGACCAGTGCGAATGTTATGCATTTATTACATTTATAGTCTGTCCTTAAACCAATGCAATCTGGGTGGATCACATTATTAAAATATTGAAAGTTTCTAAAAACTTTTTAAAAGAAAAAAAGATAAGCAATAAAATGCAATTAATAAATTGTACAGAAATCTAAAATATAGTATTCTAGTGTAGAGTGGGCAGCTGGATCAAATCAAATGCAAAACTATACAAAAAAACTATTTTAAAAATCATAAAAATTCTCCCAAAAATATGGAAGAAGAGGAACTTTTTTGCCTAGCCTGAAGAGACATTAATATTAGTGCCAAATATGTCTTCCAAGGAAGGGTATTCCATAGGCAAAGCCCCACAACTGAGGGCCTTCTACTTATACCTACCTGCTTCAGTTTACTTGACAGATACCCCAGATGGGGATCTCCAGAAGAAGACCAGAGCACTTTAGCTTGTACATAAGGGAGGAGACATCTGGAGATACTTTGGTCCCAAGCCATTCAGAGCTTTTAAAAACTAACATCAAAATCTTTGAATTGGACCCTGAAATGGACTGGCAAGCAATACAGCTTTTAGAGCACTGGTATGAAATGATTATGTCAATTCTGAACTCCTAGAGGAAACACAGGTTATAAATTAACTAACTAAATGAACAAATTGTTAACTACAAGGAGTTTCTGAAACATTTACAAAGGTAATCTTGTATCCAGAATCCAACCAGAATCTCTAATGTCTGGCTATTAGTGTCCAGCAATAATTGTAGCTGGGCAGTCTAAGATAACAAGAACTCACCTGGGCAGAGCGGCCACCCGTATCAATTTTTCTGTTTTGTTTGGATTGAGCTTTTAATTTACTAGCTCTCATCCAGTCAACTACCATGCCCAGTCACTGATTCAGGACACCCATTTGCCTTACCTGAATTAGATGGAAGGGAAAGATAAAGCTGGTGTCATCTGCATACTGATGACAATTCAGCCCACATCTTTCTATTATCTTTCCCATCAGCTTTGTGTAGATGTTAAATACCATACAGAATAATATTTATAACACATAAATAAACTTATAATGTATTAATATCTACTGCAAGGCAGCCATGTCCAGCTGGAATGAAATGGATCTAGAAAATTAGCCTTCCAACAGTATCTCCAGGTTGGTTGCAACCACTCACCCAACTTATTTCTAGGAACCATGTCCTATTTCATTCACTTCAGTTCTTCCCACTCACTTTACCAACAGTCATCCCATCTGTTAACTAGAATTTGAATTTAGCGTTAGGCATAAGTAACATCAGTAAAAACATAACCTTTAATAATGGCCAAGTCACCTACAGAAAGGTGGACAAGTATTTAATCCCGTGGCCTAATTATACCTTTCAACCATGCTTCAGGGTCGCATCGGAGTCTGAGTCCTTGGCAATGCAAATACAGCATGAAACACATTTTAATCCCTGAAAGCAAAAGTTACGAATAAATAAAGAGATTCAGTTTCACAGTACTGTGGATGATTACTATGAACCACTTATCAAACAACTTAGTACATGGAGTTTCTAAATGAAATATGAAATCTCTATGGAAGGTACACTTCAATTCAACCAGGATGAATTTTGTAGCCAGTATGCATATGAGGTCAGACTAGATAATTGTAATAGTCCCCTAACTGGTCTTAAAAGTATATGAATTTAAATTGCTTCCATACTTAATAGTCTAGAAGCAGCTAAAGAGTATCCAAATTATGGTCAGTGAATGAGACCACAAAGAGGTTTAATACCAGCTGGGGCAGATAAAATAGCAAGAGAACACATAATAAGTTTTGATCCACAGAAGGTTCTTGAAACAGAGAAGTGTATTTAAATCTTTTCCAACAGTGAATCTACCTGAGCTTTACATTGTTCAGTTTAAAGTTGGACATTTTTTTTCCAACAAAGCAAAGGAGTACATTCTTTTCTCTTCAAAATCCAGAATTAAAATAGACTTTATTGCTTGTATAGTATAGCAAGATAAAACTGTGAAAGAACTGATCTGCAAAAGGGGTAAAGCTTATCTACTAGTAGTAATCTGAGGGTAATGTTGCATTGGCAACCCAGCAGCTAGTCAGGAGCCAGCAGGTTTGTTAGGATTTGAAGGCAACAGACTCAAACTAGGGTGAATTGCCAAAACAGATTTTATTGAATTAATATTAAGAGAGTTAGCAGAGAAATATATACCAATCCACATCCATTCAGCATGCCAGGAGCCCCAAGAATAGCAGCAGATATACCCCCTGAAGCCAGTAATGTGCAGCATCCTCCCAAGACTTTGGGTCTACACCAAGGTTCAAATTGTTTTGCCATCTTTTTATACTTTTCTTAAGAAACAGGGAGAATAAACAATATCACCTGGGGATGGCCTGGTTACACATCCTATCAGGAACTCAGATATAACTTTAGACAGCGATACCACCAGCAAGGATATTTCTAGAGAAGAAAAGGTCTCTAAGCAGACAGCACCTGAAGATGGTCTGATTCTATGCCTTGGGAAGTGACCCTTTGTTTATGAGAACATTGCTCTTAGACCGGTATTGTTCCCCCTTCCCTTGGAAGGTGTTAGACTACGGAGCTGGTGTTGTTCTCCTTACCTTAACGGTTACAAGTAAAAATACAGTTACAAAGCAGCATTAACAAAACAGTGGCGTGATCCACAAAGCTCTGCTAAATAACTTCTTTCAAGCACGTACGTGGAGGAATACGCATACTGCCTCCGCCAGCTAAACAATACTTTCTGCGCTGTTACTTCTTGCACGTGTAAGGAGAAAAAGGGGTCCACACTACTAACTCCTCACCGATCTTCCATGGTGCCAATATAAATGTGGAAGCAGCAAATTCTGTCTTGCTCTTGTACAATAAATACCTAAGCAGCTCAGTGCAAAAATGGAAACACCTAATTATAGCATTAAAAACCCCTCTTATTTAATGTCTAATAAAAGTTGTTCCCTGAGTGTTTCTTCAATTGTTTTAAAACAGAACAATAATTCTGAAAAACAGCCCATCTTAAAACATGCGATCATATACTGCAAAAGTGTGAAACCAATGCAGTGAAATACAGTCCAAAATTTAGCTTTAAAAACTAAGGAAAAAATGATCAAGAAACAAAGATTTAAGTGTTAAGGACTACGAAGCCTCTTTTATTCTCAGTATATTTGTACATGAACATGGAGCCACAGAATACTCAAATCCAAAGTATCTGTGTTTAATTTAGAGAATTCTTATTGTTGATGGGTTTTGTTTAAAAAATCTACAGCATAAATATAAAGTTGTAATAGGAAAGAACAGAGTGCTCAAAGATTAGTAACCCTTTCCATCTATTTGGCCACACCTGCCACCTAATTAGAAAGGATTCTCCCTCTTAATTTTGGTAAACATAGTCATCCAATGAAGCAAAAGAGGCTCAGGACAATCAAAATGTATCTTCACACATTACATACTTAATCAATGGAATTCACTATAGCAGGATGTAATGGTGACTGCCAACCTGATCCACTTAAAAAGGTGATTAGGCAAATGTATAGGTATAAAGCTATCAGTAGCTACTTGTAATTCCTGCAGTAAAAGGTAGTTTTCTTCTTCTCTTACTAGTACCTGAAAAACATTAGGAAGAGGTTACCCTTTGCAGGCTTCTGGTAGGTAGATGTCTAGCCACTACAGGAAACAGAACGCTGGGCTAAACAAGGCTCTCCTTGCTGGTATGCTCCTAGCTATTTTTTCAAGATAATTATAGGAAATAAAAGAAAATGGCATCGAGAATATTATGTGGAGCAGTAGGATTTGACTGAACCAGATAATGCCAAAGGCTAGAAAACAGAACCCTTTCCCTCCCCCTACCTAACCGATGAAATGCAGCTCCTTCAGAGGTGCTGTTTCAAGAGCCATTGAGTAATTCATTTTAAGGCCCTGAAAGCACCTGGATCCACAGTTATATTTAAAGGCCACTGCAGACATGACATCACACAACTAGGATTGGTACCTGGTGACATATAGAAAGTTTCCAGAGTTTGGGATAAGTTGATGAATTTTGATTAGACACAGTAACAGTGGTCACAAACAGCTTACAAAGGAACACTTTAAATTAAATTACTTTTTCCATATTCCCAACTATCCATTCATATAACCTGAAAGGCTGAATTCTAGATCAGTAGCTAAACTCTCTTTGTTCATATCTTTGGTTCAAACAAACATGGATTCTTTTGCAAAACTGGTACAAACCTCAAGATAGCCACATTCAGATTCAGGAGGCGCTTACTTTGAGGCTAAAATATGCAAGTTGAAAGGTTAGGTTTAGTGATCATCCAAATTCATGATTAGTATATCTATAGCATGTGAAGAGTTGTGTAACACGAGCAGAGGGCAACATACAGCTCCTTCTAAAACCAATATCTCAAGGTAAAACATCCATACTCTTTCCTTCCCTAGACACAACATCTAGTTTATTGGCCCTTAGCTGCCATTGTCACACTCTACTCTTATACAGTCATGTTGGTCACAATTTGAACATATTCACTTATTTGAAGAACAGATTTGGTTACAAGCCTAATACACATAGGCAAAGTGTGTCTTTTAAATGCTTTTTTTATAGGAAGATGTTCCTAAAGAATAAAGAAAAGGATCTAGCAATAAACATAGCATTTTTGGACCAATAAAGGAAATGCCTCAGGGTTTCTCTCTTACCAGAAGAAGTTCAGCCTGTAATTCTTTGTAACTTTTTTCATTATCCTGGAGTCTCTCAGAGAGGTCTTTAATTACTTTCTTCTTTTCTTCTATCTCTTCGTTTAGCTGTTTGTTTATAGTCAGATGCTTCCTTTCTAACCTGAAAAGACAAACCGGCGTTTTTTGAAAGGTTTAAATATGTTATATACTCTTCTTGATGAACCAACAATATTTCTATGCTATCATTTTATTAATGTTTAAAAAAAAAGAGGAAAAAAATCTAAAGAAATGCCGAGATACCAACAGACACACATGCTGCAGCTATAAGGTGAACTGGGCACAACAGGTCAGTAGATATGGTACCATTTATCTGTTCCAGTAACCCAGAAAAGCTTCTGGGAATAATCAAATTCAGGTTATTTAAACTTGTTGCATGGCATCAAATACATTTGGCTAACTAAAATATAGAATCTGAAATAATAAACTGTTCATGTTCTTTGTTCATTTCATGTTCTTTACAATGAATACATTTCAAAATAACACGAGAACATTTAATCCAATTGTAGGGACCCAAACTTCTAAACTATGAAGTGGGGATTGAGAAAGAGCTTACAGGCTCATGTACTATTGTCTACACATCAAGTGTGCAAATTCAATACTGCTTTCCCAGGTTTTGCTAAAGTTACAACTACAATGAAAGCGCCGTAGAGTCTGTACAATAGGGCAGGTCTCTCTCTTTCTCTTTCAGTGGATTTAGAGTGGGTTTCACCAACAGAGAGATCTCGTGGCACATTTTGTTCCTAGCTATTGTGGCAAACTCTGCTGCTGGTGCTTCTCCAATATCAGAACAATGTTGAAAAAAATAGAATTTTGTTTAAAGAATAAGAAGCATAACCAGCTTTGCTTTCCTTCTGCACTACCAACCTGAATCCAACCAAATTTTATGTTCTTCCAGTGAAAACATTCACACAGACATGCACAGACATACACTTGTGGAATTGCTTTGATGTATTTCAGCAGTGAAATGCCATGGATATTCTGACAAAAAGACAGCAATCATTTGGAGTATAAAGGAGAATTTTTACGGGATTTTTTTTCCAATTCTACTGCAATATACATACCCATCACCCATCGCTTAGTGAATATTCAATAATATTGTAATTCTGGATTAAGATACTGTAAATTATGAACAGATCCACATAGAAATCTAAAAGATTCAATAAATCATATTTTGTTTGAAGCTTGAAATCAACATCCTGGAAAAGAACAATCTGATCAATAATTAATGAGTGATGTAAGAAAAACTGGTTGTTGATATTACATATGAAATATTTTAGTTAGGCTATTTGTAAGAAGAATAAAATAATATGGAGGAAATTTGTGGTATCTTTTTAATACTGGATATGTTAAAGAGAGAATGCTTTAAGATGATTTCTACTGTAAGTGTGAAGCTATTTTTTTCAAATCAAGGAAAATTCAGGAAGATTTACTCAATATGTTATTTAATGCACATTACTGCACTTTTTATTTTTATTTTATTTTCTATGTTTCCCAATTCTGAATTAGCTCAGTCCTGCTCTAACTCTTCCTACAAGCAGGAGGAGGAACTAGAATCTGTTCTAATATTCCTAAGCAAGCCAGGGAACAGGCAGGCAGGCAGGCAACTTTTTAATACTGGCTTGTCTTGAGTTCGCATTTTGCACATTATACTAAACCAGGAGTAGCCAACTAACCAACCTTTTCAGGATGAAAATTTTATTACCAGGGGCAAAAAAAAAAAAAAATCCCTTCTCACCCCTATGGTTGGT